CATGTTGTCACACCCCAACAACAATCTCCAAAGGCAATAGCAAAGTCTAGAATCAATACTATTCATCAACAGCTCTCCTGCATTCAGTAACGACACAAATTAATACACCTGCCTAACGACACACATCTGTGAAGCCAATTTAACAAATACTTGTAGTACCTTAAAATGGAGGGACCATGTACAAAAGGTGCTGTAATCTCTAAACTGTTCATCCGATATTTATGAAAATACCCTCAAATTAAAGCTGACAGTCTGCACTTCACCCTCATTGTCATTGTATCCTTTCAAACTCAAAGTGCTAGAGTACAGAACCAAAATAACAAAAAAATGGTCACTGTCCAATGAATTATGGAGCTCACTGTATATATATATATATATATCTCATTTTAGACTGCTCGACTGAAAAAAATATCTTGGTCGACCAACAACCTATCGACCAAACGGGGTCAGCCCTAGTAGAAACCCACAATTTCATCAGCTGTCCGGGTGGCTGGTCTCAGACCATCCCGCAGGTGAAGAAGCCGGATGTGGAGGTCCTGGGCTGGCGTGGTTACACGTGTTCTGCGGTTGTGAGGCCGGTTGGACGCACTGCCAAATTCCCTAAAACAACGTTGGAGGTGGCTTATGGTAGCGACATTAACATTCAATTCTCTGGCAACAGCTCTGGTGAACATTCCTGCAGTCAGCATGCCAATTGCACACTCCCACAAAACTTGAGACATTGTGTTATGTGACAAAACTGCACATTTTAGAGTGGCCTTTTATTGTCCCAAGCACAAGGTGCACCTGTGTAAAAATAATGTTTAAATCAGCTTCTTGATATGCCACACCTGTCAGGTGGATGAATTATCTTGGCAAAGGACAAATAATCACTAACAGGGATGTAAACAAATTTGAGAGAAATAAGGTTTTTGTGCGTATGGAAAATTTCTGGGATCTTTTATTTCAGCTCATGAACATGGGACTAACACTCTACATACTGTGTTTATATTTTGTTCAGTATATGTGCAATTGTATTTGGCCAGAGGGAGAGTATAAAAGGGGCCCGTCTCTGAGTACCAAAATGATTCCATAAGGAGCCATGTGTTAGAGCTGATAGATCGTAAATTACTGTCCTATAACACAGTCTTATAGCTTCACCGTCTTATATCATATTCTCTTAATGTTTTAGATCTTTACTGGGTTATATCATTATATTCTTATAGTATCCGCCTGTGCGTGCGTATGTGTGTGTATGTGGCATTGCTCATGGTGATCTTAGGCTTGTGTGCGGCTGCTCGGCCATGGAAACCCATTTCATGAAGCTACAGTTCTTGCACTGACGTTGCTTCCGGAGGCAGCTTGGAACTCGGTAGTGAGTGTTGCAACCGAGGACAGAGGATTTTTAGGCACTACGCGATTCAGCGGTCCAGTGAGCTTGTATGGAATACCACTTCGTGGCTGAGCCGTTGTTGCTGCTTGATGTTTCCACTTCACAATAACAGCACTTACAGTTGACCGGGGCAGCTCTAGCAGGGCAGACATTTTACAAATGTACTTGTTGGAAAGGTGGCATTCTATGATGGTGCCACGTTCAAAGTCACTGAGCTCTTCAGTAAAGCCATTCTACTGCCAATGTTTGTCTATGGAGATTGCATGGCTGTGTGCTCAATTTTATACACCTGTCCGCAACGGGTGTGGCTGAAATAGCCAAATCCACTCATTTGAAGGGGTGACCACATACTTTTGTATATATAGTGTATATACTTAGGGATCCTAACTTCAAGAACTCTACTGACTGATAAGAAGACCGGTGAGATGCGTGGAGGAGTACCAAGTTTCCGGACTCAAGCTGATTGATTGTTCATCCTAGACACAGTAGATGAGTCGGAGGTTATAAATATATGTGCTTGTGACTTTTTATCTTGTCTTTGCAGCTGTATGACCCAGTGTGGTGAATACATCTATCATCAGCTTTTATTAGAGTCTTTCTGGATCATGGTACCAGAACTTTAAACCTAACAATATTTTCAAACATGGTGGTGGCTGCATCCTGTTATGTGTATGCTGATCATCAGCAAGGACTAGGGAAGTTTATGATATAAAAAATAAACTGAATAGAGCTAAGCACAGACAAAATCCTAGGTGAAAACCTAGTTCAGTCTTCTTTCCAACAGACACAACGAGACAAATTCACCTTTCAACAGGACAATAACCAGGCCAAATATACACTGGAGTTGCTTACCAAGACGACATTGAATGTTCCTGAGTGGCCTAGTTACAGTTTTGACTTAAAGTCAGCTTGGAAATCTATGGCAAGACTTGAAAATGGCTGTCTAGCAATGATCAACAACCAACTTCACAGAGCTTGAAACATTTTGAAAAGAAAAAAAGTGCAAATATTGTACAATCCATGTCTGCAAAGCACAGAGACTTACCCAGAAAGAGTCACAGTTGTAAATCGCTGCCAAAGGTGATTCTAACATTTGACTCAGGCGGTTGAATACTTATGTTATGAAGATATACAGTGCGTTCGGAGAGTATTCAGACCCCTTTACATTTTGCTACGTTAAAATCCTATTGTCCTTGGTTGCAACACTCACTACCGAGTTCCAAGCTGCCTCTGGAAGCAATATTTATTTCTCCCCGTATCAAATCTACACAAAGTACCCCATAATGACAAAGCAAAAACATTTTTTTTTTTTTTACTACTGAAATATACATTTACATAAGTATTCAGACCCTTTACTCAGTAATTTGTTAAGGCACCTTTGGCAGCGATTACAGCCTTGAGTCGTCTTAGGTATGACGCTACAAGCTTAGCACACCTGTATTTGTGGAGTTTCCACAGAGGAACTCTGGAGTTGTCGGGTTCTTGGTCACCTCCCTGACCAAGGCCCTTCTCCCCCGATTGCTCAGTTTGGCCGCGCGGCCAGCTCTAGGAAGAGTCTTGGTGATGGAGGCCACTGTGTTATTGGGGACCTTCAATGCTGCAGAAATGTTTTGGTACCCTTCCCCAGATCTGTTCCTCGACCCAATCCTGTCTCGGAGCTCTACGGACAATTCTTTCGACATCACGGCTTGGTTTTTGCTCTGACATACACTGTCAACTGTGGGACCTTATATAGACAGGTGTGTGCCTTTCCGAATCATGTCCAATCAATTAGATTCACCACAGGTGGACTACAAATCAAGTTGTAGAAAGATCTCAAGAATGACCAATGGAAACAGGATGCACCTGAGCTCAATTTCGAGTCTCATTGCAAAGGGTCTGAACACTTATGTAAATAAGGTATTTCTAAAGACCTGTTTTCGCTTTGTCATTATGGGGTATTGTGTGTAGATTGATGAGTATTTTTATTTATTTATATAAACCATTTTAGAATAAGGCTGTAACATAATAAAATGTGGAAAAAGTCAAGGGGTCTGAATACTTTCCGAATGCACTGTATTAGTTTTTTCTTGTTCATGTTATTAGTATTCTTTTATTTTTTTTAACAAATGTTCACATTTTTCTTACACTTTGACACTCAAGTACTTTGTGTGGATCGTTGACCCACCCCAAAAAAGGGGGCGGGTGTTCATTACACAAGCTGACATGAATTTTAATATGGTCAAACTATGTATCAATTAGCTATATGATTTTGATTTTTAGTACCCTTTAGGTATAAATTTTTTTTTTTAATCGAAAAAATGTATTTGATTAAATATTGAATTTGGCCTTTACTATTATAGCCCAGAGAAACGCATTGAATAACACATTCATAAATGGCAAAAAATACAGTATTTTACTTATTTTTTGGGTAGGCACAACACTACCTTCACACTTCATAAAAAAATTTAAACCGGTACCAGTTACCTTCAGACAAGTCCCGTGACACTTTTGGGGGACGTAAAGCAAAACGGAGAACACCATCGTGTTCATGACAATCTCCCCTTTCCACAGTGGGGTCACATTAGTTTGTAGCCCAAGCAGTTCGGACGCTACAAACAGAAGTTGGCACATCGACTGTATCGACTTCAGACGAGTCCCTTGACACTTGTGGGGGTTGTAGAGAAAAACGGAGGCACCCGTAGTGTTCGTGAAAGTCTCCCCTTTCCATAGAGTGGTCATAATATGTAGGTCAAGCCGTTTGGACACTACAGACGTTTTCGTGAGAAGACCGATTTTATGGATGTCTCATGGTCTGACAAACACAGCTCTAGCTATGCCATCTTTCACCGCAGATGCAGAAGTGCGACATCGGCGGATGCGATTGATCGAGATGCATCCAATGCAACAAAAAATATATCTCTAGCTTAAACTGTGTTACTTACAGTAGATTACACCAGTGCGTCAATCGACTCTAGGGGGTTAAATCCATTTTAATCCCACTTTGTAACATAACAAAATGTGGAAAAATTCAAGGGGTGTGAAGACTTTCTGAAGGCACTGTAGATGTGTGCGTGTGTATGCATGTACACACCTGTGTGTATGCGCATTCGTGAGCGCGTGCGTGTTTGTGCATGTGAAAGCATTTGCATGCACATCTGTGTACTCACTGTTGGGAGTTGGTGGTGCACCCTCCCCTGGTATGCTGTCGGACTCTGCGGGTGGGGAAAGACAGAAACACATTCTTAAGAGATCTGCTGTTGGCATGGCACCAACGCTTATAACAGCTTGACTCACTCGGATCTCAGACAACATTTGGCATCGCTCACATAAAAAATGATGGATGTCAGGAAGGAGAGTGGAAGAAAAGAGTACTTAAAAAGTATTAGCGGATGAATGCAGCTGACAAGTTACTGATAAGAAATGAGCCTCAAACATAACATTACGCCATAAATCCAATTTTACATCCCCAAAATTGGATTCATGTGACTTTTGGATCGGGGATTGCATTATCATGCCTTTATATATTTAGCAGGAGAGGGATTATCAAAAATGAGGTGCTATTAAATCATGTCTGCAGTGACTTGAGTTGATTATTTTGATCTTATCAAACATTTCCTATGTCATCACACAAAGAAGCCTTAGTGTTTCAGGGCAGGCCTTCCTTACCTCTGTGGGCACGGACGTGCGTCTGAAAGCAGTTGTAGTACTTGTACTTCTTCCCACATATCCCACAAACATAGGAGCCTGTGTGACAGAGGAAAGTAAATATAGAGAGGACTGAAAATGCTGCAATAGTTGACTGCATTGATATCATTGGTCTGTAACAATATATAGAACATGCACTCAGTGACCAGTTTATTAGGTACACCACCCCATTCACAAAAATGGTTCGCTCCTACAGACAGTGAGTCACGATGAGGCATCCAGTTACTGTTCGATTGAACGTTAGAATGGGCAAAATAAGTGACCTAAGCGACTGAGCGTGGTATGATCGTCGGTGCCAGGTGCACCGGTTCCAGTATCTCAGAAACTGCCGGCCTCCTGGGCTTTTCACGCACGACAGTGTCTAGGGTTTATCGAGAATGGTGCGACAAACAAAAAACATCCAGTCAGCGGCAGTCCTGTGGGCGAAAACAGCTCGTTGATGAGAGGATGAAGGAGAATGGCAAGAATCATGCAAGCTAACAGGCAGGCCACAAACAGGCAAATAACGGTGCAGTACATCAGTGGTGTGCAGAACGGCATCTTGGATGGCACAACTCGTCGGTCCTTGTCACGGATGGGCTATTGCAGCAGGCAACCACACCGGGTTCCACTCCTGTCAGCTAAAAACAAGAAGAAGCGGCTCCAGTGGACACACTGGACAATTGAGCAGCAGAAAAACATTGCCTGGTCCGACGAATCCCGGTTCCTGTTGCATCGTGCTGATGGCAGAGTCAAGATTTGGCATAAGCAGCATGAGTCCAAGACCCCATCCTGCCTGGTGTCAACGGTACAGGCTGGTGGTGTAATGGTGTGGAGAATATTTTCCACACATTAGGTCCCTTGATACCAATTGAGCAACATTTCCATGCCCTGAAGAATTCAGGCTGTTCTAGAGGCAAAGGGAGGTCCGACCCAGTACTAGTCCCCTGTAGCTCAGTTGGTAGAGCATGGCGCTCGCAACGCCAGGGTTGTGGGTTCATTTCCCACGGGGGGCCAGTATGAAAATGTACGCACTCACTAACTGTAAGTCGCTCTAGATAAGAGCGTCTGCTAAATGACTAAAAATGTAAAAAAAAGTATGTAGATGTGTACACCTAATAAACTGGCCAATAAATGTATCTCTCTCTGTGTAACAACATCATACCTAAACACTTGGGTGATTTCCCGGGCACAGATTAAGCCTAGTTCTGGACTTCAAATCATTTTCAATGGAGATTCTCCATTGAGTTTGTGAAATGTTTGCTAATTTATTAAAATACAGAAATCTCTCATTTACATAAAGTATTCACACCCCTTTGCTATGCCACTCCAAATTGGAGCTCAGGTGAATCCAATTTCCTTTGAACTTCCTTGAGACGTCGCTACAACTTGGAGTCCACCAATCATGTTTCGCTGTCATTATGGGGTATTGTGTGAAGATAGGTGAGGAAAAAATAAATCAATTTAATCAATTTTGAATTCAGGCTGTAACAACAAAATGTGGAATAAGTCAAGGGGTATGAATACTTTCTGAAGGCACTGCACATTCCAGCTGAGATGGTTAATGTTCAACTTCAGAGGCCAGTGTGTAGCTGAAGACAGGTGCAAAACAGGTTTGTGTAATGAACCCAGATGTTGGGAGTAGGTAAAAATTTAGCAATTGAGATGAGAACATTTGAACGGCTGGATGCAGGTGCACAGGTTTGGAAGAGCGCAGATGTAGAGGGAGAAGGTAAAATGACAGGTACATAGGCGTTGAAAGGAGGTCTTCTTTCCTACAGAGTTGGTTTGTTCGTTTTGCGTCAGCCATTTTGCATTATGGTCTAAATTGTGCAAACTCCACCAACCTAGCACAGAGGGTGATGCAAAATGAACCTGCGCATTGTGTGTGGAGTGGGAGGTGACGTGTTAGGGGGTCGTACCCTGAGTCTGGTCATTGCGAGACCTTCCTCCTCCTCCACCGAGGACCACACAGATCTCGGCAGGCACATCTTTCCCGTTACTGGCCCCCTGCGTGCAAGGCTCCTTCTTTATCATGACCGGGACAGTGAGGGTGGCGGTGGTGGTTGGGGTAGTGGTGGGGCCATCTGAGACTCCATCCCCCGTGTCAACCTGCTCCTGCGCAGGATTGGTAGGCACCTCCTGACCACTCATGACTCCTACTACTCAGGGCCAGTGTACCTAGGGCTATGCGTGTGAGAGAGTGAGAGAGAGCAACAGACAGCCAGGAGAAAGAGAGAAGGAAGAAACAATACAGAATTACTAAATCGACCTCTCCAAAAACAGCTGCCTTTCTTTGAAACAGGTGCAGTTCAAATACAACATCAATGGACAACATCAAGGCAGCCGAGCTCTGAAAAAACTATTTTTAGACAGCTCTAAGGCAAGGCACTTGACACTCAGTAACACCCACAGACTGGGATTGCCATATGACTGACCAATGTACTTCTGAGAGAGAGGTGTAGTCTGGTATACTAATGAGAGAAAGGGCAATTTAATGGTTCTCAAAATTGTCTCCATATGGACATTATTGTTATCGAGATGAATAAAGGTATATTCTAACCAGGGGGGCTACCAAATCTGGCCTCTATAAAAAATACAAAATGACTCATGACAATGAGGTTTGCCCAAAATAGGAGGGGAATAGATGGGAGAGATATGCATGATTATTATGTATAATTAGCCCTACAGCGCTTCATTGTGTACGGGTGACCTTTGATGACAATACATCCATAGTGCCCAGGTGCTCTAATTTCAGAAACATCCAAATTACCCAGCCTTCTACTGTAAGTACCATAGTACACTAGTACTATAATGAGGGGACACCAGGCAAGAGGGTACGTGTAAAATGCAACCAAGCAAAACAGAGCTATAACCGGGATGACAGATTTTTTTTTGGAAAGAGAAGAATTTCACTAATAATAGCAACAACAAGACCTTTCATGGGCAACACACCTTTTCTTGGAAGCGATAACTTACTGACGTTGGCGCAAATTATTAAAACAGATCATAGTTACGTGGGCCGCTGTTGTCCCCCAAAAATTACTTTGCTTTTGAATCACAATCAAAACTACAGCATTGGTGTGTGACATGTTTCCGTTTGTCACCCTAAATATGAATAATTGTGCAGAACTTTCTACACTGCTCAAAAAAATAAAGGGAACACTTAAACAACACAATGTAACTCCAAGTCAATCACACTTCTGTGAAATCAAACTGTCCACTTAGGAAGCAACACTGATTGACAATAGATTCCACATGCTGTTGTGCAAATGGAATAGACAACAGGTGGAAGTTATAGGCAATTAGCAAGACACCCCCAATAAAGGAGTGGTTCTGCAGGTGGTGACCACAGACCACTTCTCAGTTCCTATGCTTCCTGGCTGATGTTTTGGTCACTTTTGAATGCTGGCGGTGCTTTCACTCTAGTGGTAGCATGAGACGGAGTCTACAACCCACACAAGTGGCTCAGGTAGTGCAGCTCATCCAGGATGGCACATCAATGCGAGCTGTGGCAAGAAGGTTTGCTGTGTCTGTCAGCGTAGTGTCCAGAGCATGGAGGCGCTACCAGGAGACAGGCCAGTACATCAGGAGACGTGGAGGAGGCCGTAGGAGGGCAACAACCCAGCAGCAGGACCGCTACCTCCGCCTTTGTGCAAGGAGGAGCAGGAGGAGCACTGCCAGAGCCCTGCAAAATGACCTCCAGCAGGCCACAAATGTGCATGTGTCTGCTCAAACGGTCAGAAACAGACTCCATGAGGGTGGTATGAGGGCCCGACGTCCACAGGTGGGGGTTGTGCTTACAGCCCAACACCGTGCAGGACGTTTGGCATTTGCCAGAGAACACCAAGATTGGCAAATTCGCCACTGGCGCCCTGTGCTCTTCACAGATGAAAGCAGGTTCACACTGAGCACCTCCATGTGCTCGCCAGAGGTAGCCTGACTGCCATTAGGTACCGAGATGAGATCCTCAGACCCCTTGTGAGACCATATGCTGGCGCGGTTGGCCCTGGGTTCCTCCTAATGCAAGACAATGCTAGACCTCATGTGGCTGGAGTGTGTCAGCAGTTCCTGCAAGAGGAAGGCATTGATGCTATGGACTGGCCCGCCCGTTCCCCAGACCTGAATCCAATTGAGCACATCTGGGACATCATGTCTCGCTCCATCCACCAACGCCACGTTGCACCACAGACTGTCCAGGAGTTGGCGGATGCTTTAGTCCAGGTCTGGGAGGAGATCCCTCAGGAGACCATCCGCCACCTCATCAGGAGCATGCCCAGGCATTGTAGGGAGGTCATACAGGCACGTGGAGGCCAGACACACTACTGAGCCTCATTTTGACTTGTTTTAAGGACATTACATAAAAGTTGGATCAGCCTGTAGTGTGGTTTTCCACTTTAATTTTGAGTGTGACTCCAAATCCAGACCTCCATGGGTTGATAAATTTGATTTCCATTGATAATTTGTGTGTGATTTTGTTGTCAGCACATTCAACTATGTAAAGAAAAAAGTATTTAATAAGATTATTTCATTCATTCAGATCTAGGATGTGTTATTTTAGTGTTCCCTTTATTTTTTTGAGCAGTGTATTTAGATGACCAAGCTGTGGAGGGAGTATTTCTGGATGGCAATTGGTTAATCAGGTGCTCCTTCAGACAGAGCTGGCCATATTGAAAAGGGCACTGGTTCAATAGAACAATGTGTGTAAAGGAGAAAAAAGGGCAGGCTCATTGCATGTAGGCTAGTCATAAAAATAAAATCACAGTTACTTTAACTTTCTGTTAAACAAATATTAGGCCTAATTGAAATGCGTTTCCTGCTCCATTGTTTCATGCCCCATTTCCCTAATTTTGAAATCTAGTCTACATTGGTTGGTCATGGTGCTCCTGATCTGGTAGAGAAATGGACAATGGGAGAACCTCCATGTTTTTCATATCAGCATGGGTTCAACAGTTTAATGGGCTGGGGCTATACTAATCTCAAACAGCATTAGAATAAATGTAAAATGACTAACCGCCCCTGACATCTAGCCTACTCAATAAAATGATTCCTGCAAAGAAAAGTAGCTAGCCGACAATGGAAACATTGGAAATTCTAATCTCCCTCAAAAGATGCCAATTCAATTCAACACGCTTGGTTAGATTGGAGGCCGTAAAAACTCATTTGGGAAGCAAGGGGAACGGCTGAGTGCTCATTTCAGCAGCAGCCCTGTCGCGGCCGTGCGCCATGTTGTGTTGGAAATTATGATGAGAGCTTTTTTAAAAACAAAAACACAGCCCTATCTGGAACAAGTGGGAGCACGAAACTACATGGAGGGGAATATCAACCGAGATGAAAAAGCTGAAATGTGAAATCCCTCTCAGCGCTGGACATGATTGGATTCCATACCATAATGGCAGGATGTGATTAATTTTTTCACAAAATTATCACACGTAGGCATTAAATCTGTGCTGCTTGGTCGGTAGCTATGCAATTGTGAATTAGTTATTGATAGCTAGCCCAGTCTATTTGAGACTAGTTTGCGTCTGCGCTGGAACCATCATGTCATTAATCTGATCAAGTTTGTGAAATCCCACGGTGGAAAAAAACAACCATGGATGAAATAGGATCAACTGAGGATATATCTTGCAGCCTCTGAGAGACAGGCTACATTTTAGAAAATATGATGTGCCATTTCAGGGAATTTCTCTCATAAAAAGGTCACACAACCACATTTCCAGCCACAGTTTTTATGCGAGTAAAGTCCTACAGTATCACCACGACAGCTGTGATGGAAACAGGAAGTTTCTGTACGGTTTATAAATGGCGACAGAATTTGTTCGTTCGACATGGTGGGATCTTTTTGTGTCCTTAAATTAATTATTAAACAAATGGCAGAGGAAACACCTTTATGTGCTAATATTTATATAATAACCATCATATCGAAGGTAAACTTGAAGTCACGCGATGATATGGTGTGTGGTCCTCCCACTAAGGCTACAGATGAAATAAATTATGATGAACTTCACAGGGTGGCGGATGTGCACGGTGATGAGCTTGATGCTCCTTTCCAATAAAAATCGAGGGTCTTATTCTGGTGAGATGATGATCGATGCTGACTGCCATTTGACAAATTAAAATATTCTCGCTCTTATCCATAATAATCTCATCATGTATACTAGCCTACCTGCACAGTATCTGCGAGCTGCTGGCTAGAGCGCACGTGCCAAAACCAGAGTAGGCACATTTGTCACAAAAACTGTTGCGTTAAATAGCAAAACTATCAGTAGAGTTGAAAATGCGATGTAAAACACATTGATCTTTAGATTTTCATTCTGCCGAAAAAGTACATTTTGTATGCAGTACGTCATCACGCACTGATTTTTATCCGCAACAAGTCTGTTTGGTGGAAACACACCACTGGAAAATGCAGATTTTATTGTATTCACATGAAATTCTGTCGCCAATTGGATGGAAACCTAGCTACTGAAACAGATATTTTCACCTGCACGAGTGAAAGGCCTAAGTTGTAGGCCTCGTTTAGGGGCTAATTTAGTTTTTCCATTCCCTCACTGTTTAAATAATTACATCACATAACATACAGAATGCATCCAAATAATCCAATGCTGTGAAACTGAAATGGGCCTACTTCCAAGATGTGAAAAACATGGTGTCACGGCCTCCCGAGTGGCGCAGCGGTCTAAGGCACTGCATCACAGCATCAATTCAACATGAAGGCTTTTTTACGAAATGTGTGTATGCGAGACTACATCTTATGAAACAGGTTTAGCAGGAAATTTGCCCATTTGAATAGACGACTGCTTTCCTCAAGATTGAGGGCAGCTGTTAAGTTAAATGTCATTGTATGGATATTAAACATAATATCTGTGCTGGACTACAGCACTAAGCTAATCAGTCTCATTGCTAGAGATGTCGGAAAGGTCAACATTGGAGGAAACATAAATTAATGGAACATTTTTAAACATTGCATCAAGATGGGGCAGGATACTTGAAATACTAGGCTATGTGTGGACTGTACATGATGGGCTAATACCAGAACAAATTATGCACTACTAGACCAATTCCGACTTCATTTCTGAGAAAGACATTTTGCTGAGGAAAATGCATAGCAACAATGGACATGAAAAAACAGACTCAATAAGAAAAGGTGACAA